AAACAGTTTGACTCCCATTTACATATCAGAAAATATTCAAAAATTGTATGGCATCGTGCAAAATAATAGCATTGTATTAATGAGAGCAGTAGTATTTTACAAACTCAATTCTACACATCATCAATAAAAAAATTACATATGTCACAAACTAGTTGAAATATATCTACTCCCTCTGTTTCTAAAGATAAGTCTTTTTACATATTTTTAATTAGGACTACATACGGATGTATATGGATGTACTTTAGAGTGTAGATTCACTGCTTTTGCTCCGTATGTAGTTCATATCGAAATCTTCAAAAAGACTTATATTTAGGAACGGAGGGAGTATATGATTTCTAGTTTCTACATGCTGATAGTGGAAGAATATCTCCTTGCTTTCTCTACTTCTGTAGCTTATCCTTGTGGTGGCTACCTTTAGAATCCGCACGTACAAGTTTTCTGCAAAGAAAGCAAAATGAGATTTTTTAAAAAAAATCATTGGAACTTCTACCAGTGAGTTCTCCTTTGCTGAACATACAACCATAAGAATCGAGAATGGTATTTATGTACCACACCGAGTAAACATGCCCTCCAGAAGTTCAATCTAGTCTGGTTGATGTCATGTTATACTGTAAAAGGAAGAAACATCATGTTGTTGTTGATGGATATACCATACAAAAAATATGTAAAGAAATAACATCAGGTTAACATATGGGGACTGAAATCTCCAAGCCTTAATACTATCTCTACATATAAGAGTATAGGGCGACATTTACCATAAAAAACTGAATTTTCATGGTAGTTCACATTAATAATCTACAGTCTAACACAAAAGCGAGCATGATGCCATTTTGCTGCTTCAGACATAGTGCAACACATCTGATCCAGATGTTTCACATAATCACATATAATTAGATTTTACCAAAAATGATAATATATCCATCCATGCACTTTATCAGACAACATCAGAAAATTTTCTGCAGATGAGAAACCACATGTATGAGTTGATCTCTCCCTCTTATAGTACAAGGCATGTTTACTCAAAAAAATATTAGAACGTGGGCACAAAGTTCTTATTATTAGTTATTGGGGAAAATGAAGGTGATTTGATAGTTCATACACGAGCATTATTAACTGCATGAAAAAGAAAAATTCGTTAAGAACACTGACCATCTTATTTCTATCAGGATATTCTCACAGGCTTTCTATCAAGCACCAACATTCATGTGTGCCAATAATTTGGGAGCAAACAAGTGTAAGATCAACTTTAAGTTGAACTAGTAGTTTAGCCAGTAAAAAGATGAGAGTTCAGAAAAAAAAAACGACAAAGTCTTGTTGTCCCATATTGTAATAGAGATAACCTAAAGTAAATGTAATATCAAGATTATCATCCACAATTAAGTACACATCAAGGGAGGGGCTCTAATTTTTTACTTGGAATGAGTTGATAGAACAACAACTAAAATTTAAAAAGCCTTACGCGCACGCCCCGCCTCCTTCCTATGCGCCTCCATCCCCTACCTCCAGCCTTACGCGCGCGCATCCCTCCCCCTCTCCCCTCCCCCGGGCTGCGACTGGGCCACTAAGATCTTCATCATCGACGGCCAGGCGCTCCCTCGCCGGCCGCAATGGCCATGTCCATCCCCTAGCTACAGCCTTCACACGTGCGCATCTCCTCCCCCCTCCTCCTGGGCTGCGATGGGCCACCACAAGCTCCATCACCGGCGGCCAGGAGCTCCCCTCGCCGGCCGCCATGGCTGCCTGCCGCCATGCTCGGATCCACCCCGCGCAAGTGTTGCAACCGTCACCTAGGAAAGCTACAATAGTTGTTGAAAAAAGCTTCAACCATAGACACAGAAAGCTTCAATGGCACTACACAACAAGGGGAAGTTGTAACCGTAGTTGGATTTTGCTACTACCGGCAAAGCTTTTTTGCTACATCCATCAGGTGGAGCTGCGACCTCAAGACGACGACAATGACGATTTGCTGCAACCGTAGTAGGATTTTGCTACTATCGTTGGAACTTTTTGCTACATCCATTCTTTTTCTAGAACGCAATGGCTGCTACATGCAACTATGAGCTACAAACAGCAACAATGGTGACAGACTTTTTTGCTGCAATCGTTTTCTCCGTTTGCTGCGACCGTGCAATAGAAAGCTGCAATGGGCGGCCATGGGAGCCACATGCCAGCGGCAACGGCAGACGTCGAGTTGCAACCGACAGCAACAAAAGCTGCATCCAGCGGAGCTGCAACCGGCGTCTGGTGTTGCCGGAGTCGTGGCCATCACCAGCGATGGGGAGCTGCAACCCACGGGCGAAGTTTTTGCTGCATGCGTGGATCTGGACGGCGGCGATCGGCGGCGAGTGCGGCATCCAGCAGCACGGGAGCGGCGGAGAGAGGGGTTGCAGGTGAGGGGGTAGCGGCCGACGGGCCAGGGGGACAGCCAGGCGATAGGGAGCCGCGCTCGCAATGCGCGCGAAGAGGAAGAAGGAGAGGGAGAAGTCAACGTAAAGATCGGACGACTGCTCGCAGGATCGGATGGTTGAGGTTGGACCGGCCGAACCGTTTGGGTCGGTGCGCCGGCGCCTAGCGTCGCCCTAAATCACAACTCCACGCTGCATATATAGGACGATGGTACTCGGACACCGGAAGTGTTCTGGGGGTACCGGATACATATCGGGTCACCGGAAGGGGTTTCGGGCATCCCCCGGCAACTGCATGGGCCTCATGGGCCAAGAAGGGGACAGACCAGCCCCTAGGGGGCTGGTGCGCCCCATGTAGGCCGAAATAGGGGGATGGAAAGAGGAGAAGGGAGAAAGGAAGGGGAAGGATTCGACCTCCCCCTTCCTTCTCTCATCCCTCCTCCTTCCTTCCCCCACCGGATGAATATGGAAGGGGGAAGGCCGAATTGGGAGGCACCCAAGTAGGATTCCTCCTACTTGGGGCGCCCCCTTACATGACTATCTTGGCCTACCCAAGTGAAATTTCGGTAAAAGAAAAGCATGGATATGGGGAGAGGTGGATAACTAGATTGGCATGTACTTAAAAAAGGGACTTACTTTATTTTAGAACTCCACAATGAAATACTGAATTTTCTAGCAATTATACTACTCTGATCCGAAATAAAAAGAACCCTCAAATTATTTTTAGAAATTAAAGTAAGCACACTATTCTAAATCGGCTGCCTCTTCTCCCCTCCAACCTATATATATGAGGGGGCACCGCTAGAACACACAATATTGATTCCTAGCCGTGTGCGGCGCCCCCTCCACAGTTTACGCCTCCGGTCATATTCACGTAGTGCTTAGGTGAATCCCTGCGCGGATCACTTCACCATCACCGTCACCACGCTGTTGTGCTGACGCAACTCTCCCTCGACACTTTGTTGAATCAAGAGTTTGAGGGACGTCATCAAGTTGAACGTGTGTAGAACTCGAAGGTGTCGTATGGTCGGTACTTGATCGGTCGGAACGAGAAGTCATTCGACTACATCAACCGCGTTAAGCAAACGCTTTCGCTTTCGGTGTACGAGGGTACGTGGACACACTCTCCCCCTCTCGTTGCTATGCATCTACTAAATAGATCTTGCGTGAACGTAGAATTTTTTTAAAAATTGCATGCTACATTTCCAATACACACGTGTGGGCAATTCTAATGTTCGCCCACACACAGCCCGTGTGGGCTGCCTCCTGCTCACGCCACACACGATGTGTGGGCGGATGTTTAGTATGCCACACGTGTGGACGTTATTGGTGTCCATTTTAATATGGCACCAAAAATAGTAGACAAATGAGAAAGCTAACAAAGCCTAAACAGCAGCAAGAATCACGATTTAACTCCAGAAATCAACACTACAAACAGTAAAGATTTCTATGCAATGAATTGGATGTCAAACTACAAACCTTGAAAATTAATTTAAGCAGTAACAATTATATTTCTTCATACTCACACAACACATCTCTTACAAGATAGAGCCTGTATGGATCGATGCCCTCGAACACCCGCCCAAAAAATTGGCATTGACCAGGCTTTGGGTACCCTTTTGGATGAGCACCAAATAATTGGTGTGTCCACCCTTCCCCAGCCCTCACAGTTCATTTTCACGCCAATCTTTTGGCGAGGCACGGGCGGCGAAATCGGTCATCAAAACAAGTCCAAACAAGTCCATAAGAACGTCATCAAAACACGAAGATGAACCGCTCCCATACCCAAAGGTGAAGAATGTGCAGTGGTGCATATCTCATTGACGGCAAATGGCTATTGCCAATGCAAGTTAGAATGTATATATCCATCACAGGTGCATAAACATACAGAAATGAATCATTAGATTCACTTCACGCCTTTACAAAATTGGTAGCTTTATTTTCACTAATTACCTAGTATAAAGAAAATTACCTAGTGTAGTATAAACATGAAGAAAAAAACTCAGGTGTCTCAATAGTAACCATTAACAAACTTTTTGTGTGCCATCACAAAGTGTTGGTTGCATCTGGCATGTTCCTTGCCTCTATAAAACATGGGCACAATGCTTCTAGCTTATATCCTCGTTTTTGCAGAAATCATCTAATTTCTCTGAATCTAACATAGTCCAATGAGAAAAAAAAAGGAACGACCCATCAGAAATTAACAAAGCTGACCAACTTCAGTTTTGCTGGAATGGCAACAACCGTAGAGGTTGAAAATTTCAGTATGCTGCCTAAATGATAAACCTGACAACATCTAAACAACATGATCACGAATTAACTACAGTAATCCAAACTACAAAGAGGTTAATGAAAATGAGAGGTTGTACCTGCAGACTTCCGAACTGCAGTATCAGGTTCAGACTGAACAAAAAAGAGAAGTAGCAAGGCGTACAGAAGAACCTTCCAACCGAAACTGAATAATACAAGCACACGTTGAGCAATAATTCAGACGGCGACATTACTATTTCTTCAGACCAACAAGCAGCACAATTCCTACAGAGATTGTACCATCGCACTGCTAACTACACACAAAACGCTGCCATCGGAAGACGCCTAGGAGGAGGTGAACTTGGTGACGGCCTTGGTGCCCTCGGAGACGGCGTGCTTGGCGAGCTCGCCGGGGAGGACGAGGCGAACGGAGGTCTGGATCTCCCGGGAGGTGATGGTGGGCTTCTTGTTGTATCGCGCGAGCTTGGCAGACTCGCCGGCGAGCTTCTCGAAGATGTCGTTGATGAAGGAGTTCATGATGGACATGGCCTTGGAGGAGATGCCGATGTCTGGGTGCACCTGCTTCAGCACCTTGAAGATGTAGATCTTGTACGTCTCCACGCTCTTCTTGGCCTTCTTCTTCCCCTTCTTCTCGCCTCCGCCCTCCTTGGACGCCGGCACCTTCTTCTCCGCCTTGGGCTTCTTGCCCGCCGGGGTCTTCTCCACCGGCTTCTTCTCTGCGGCCTTGGGCGCCATGGGTGCTTCGACGGCGGTGGAGCTTGGTTGGAAGGTGTGGGCTGAGGGGGGCTGGAGGTGTTGCGATGTGGGGAGGCGGATGGGGCGGCGAGATTGTTATATAGAAGGAGGAAGGAGGAAGAAGGTGGGCTGTGATTGGTGGAGGTGCGGCTGCCGCGGATCGATGCCTTTGGGGTAGTCTCAGCCGTTCGTCGCTGTGTTGGATGGACGGACCGGATGCGCCTTGACGCGGATCGGTGACGTGGCGGAAACGGTCATGGTCGGGTCGTTCGATGATTTTGTGCTGGAGGCAACGAGCCTGGCCTGGCCCGTGTTGCAGAGCATGAAGACAATGCTCAGCTTCTCGCCGGTTTACGTTGGCCCGCCGGAGCGGCCGTTGCATCAGACTGGACGTGTGAGATCATGCAAGCCGGCGTCACACTGGGAAGGTTTGGTGGAGTTTGGGCATCTAACGCGACCCCAACCGGAGGTCCGATTTGTCTAGATTCTATCTATTTGGGTCGGTCACAGGAGCGGTGTCCGGCCTCTTCTGTGTTTGCGTATACAGTGCATCTAACCAGTGGCGGAGAGTGACAAGTAACAAGGGGGGGCCAATTTCAAACTAAAAGCAAACAATTTTGCTAATTCTTAGGCAACTTATTTTTTATGTGTCAAATCTATTGCGAGTGTAGAGCAGCGGAACGTAGCCCGCGACGATGATGTGGCTTGCCATTGGGTTGCATGCGGAGGAAAGTCGGAGGGTTTGATAATTGACATCTTCAGGTGTTTTTTTTGTAACGACATCTGCTTAGACAGGAACTCATCGGAGGGAAGGCATGGAGGCTGGACTGTCCAACACAGCGACGGGCAACAAGCTAGCTACATGCAAAAAAGAGAAACTAGCTCATGCACGAACTAGTATCACGCAGCATGCTTTTTTATTCTCTCACAATACTAACAAAAACTAGCATCTAGCTAGCAGCTGGACTGTACAACAACTGACATGTAAATGAGGGACGAGAGCTTTAGAGTCCATCGGCATAATTCAGCTGGAGAGAAATTTATTGATGGGCTAGAC